GTCATTATCAATCCTTCAAGGTGAGTGTGCTATGCTTCTAAATTGATTACTTGAATTTAATCTATTGCTATCTGTTATATTATGATCTTGAAATATATTGTGCGGATTCAACATTAAACCGGGTAAACGCTGATTGGAATCTTTCAAATTCGGTTGAGTATTGTCCGGATATGACTCTAAACCGGACAAGGGACGTCCGGAGTTGTCTTAAACTGCCCACAAAGGCAACCGGATTCTCCTTAAACCGCTTAAGTATCGTCCGGATTTCATTTAAACCGGCTACAAGATGTCCGGATGTGTCTAAATCACTCAAAATGTCTGGATTATGATATTTTTGGTTTTAAGTATTTGTCCGGATTCTATATCCGGACAATGATGACCGGATTTCCATATCCGGCTGAATATTGATAAATTTTGAACCGAGAGAGAGATGTAATGGCGGTGTAACCGCGAGAGAGATGTAATGGCGGTGTAACTAAGAGATAGATGTAATGGCGGTGTAACCGCGAGAGAGATGTAATGGCAGTATAACCGCGAGAGAGATGTAATGGTGGTGTAACCGCGAGAGAGATGAAATGACGGTGTAACCGCAAGAGAAAAAGTATATGTGATAAATAAAATACTTATGTCTGTACAGGTTTGATTCTAAACTGCTAGTTTAGATTGTTTGTTATTTACATGAGCTACGTACACTCACTAGACCTCTTAGGTCTAACGCTCAGTTGTTGGACTAACCTGTTTTGCAGGTCATCATACTTTGCAAGATAAAGGCAAGGGGAAGATTTAATTATTAATGAAATTTAGTTGCTCATAAATGTATTCAAGAAAGTTTTTGTTAGCCCATGTTTTGTAAACAATACTATATTTTGTTTTATGAGTACGTGTATGTGGATTATCTGTACGTGAAAATTGTGGGTTGTTACAGTTGGTATCAGAGCCTTAGTTTAAAGGATCTGGGTATTTGCGAAATACTTAGACTTAAACTAGAGGTGCGGAAGTTATGATAATAGGTTTCACTGGGTCTATGAACATGAGAATATGTTATAGCTGAACCTATTATGAGAAAGATAGATTATATATGATTGATATAATCTGAGTTGTGGATAAACTTGAGGATAAATATGCTATTATGTTTTGAATATGAGAATAATCATGTGTATTTAAATGTAGAGAAAAAGTTATACACTGAGAAATGGCAGATAATCTCAATCAATCAGAAAGGACCTCTACTGGTTATGGAAGAGGTCGGGGAAGAAGAAATGTGACTCAAGGGGAAGACCTGGAAAATGTAATGACGATTGAAACACGAAGTCGCAGTAGGGGTCGAGGAAGAGGTAGAGGTACTAGACAAGAAACTCATGGGGAACAGGAATTGTCGGCCCAAGAAAGTTCAATGTCTGGTCGTGGTAGAGGAAGAGCAAGGGGTGGACACAATGTTTCTGACCCCGACTATATTACTCAGGAAATGTTGGCGGCTGAATTAGGAAAATTTCAAGAGAGTTTGGTAAATTTGTTGGGACGTTCGGTTCCAAATCATCCAAAAATTTTAAGGGAATCTGAGCAACAGGAAGAAGCCGGAGCTAGTACCCCGGTAACTGATACATCTGTACCCCTTACTTCGTCCTCAGTACAGAAAGGAGGAGATATCAATATGTTTCTTTCTTGTAAACCTCCGAAGTTTTCTGGTGAGCGTGATCCTATTAAAGCCATGTGTTGGCTTAAAGAAATAGAGCTGAGTCTGCAAATAAGCAAATGTGCAAAAGAGGACAAAGTTATGTTTGCTGTATCTCGTTTGAGATCAAGTGCTTTGTACTGGTGGGAAGTTCTGTCAAGTTCAGATCCAGATATTTTGAAAACTATGTTACGGGAAGAATTTGTGGTTAAGTTTAAAATGCAGTATTGTCCTGAAGCTGCAGTACGAAAGTTGGAAGATGATTTCCTTCGTTTAGAACAAGGAAATATGCCAGTTCGTCAGTACACAGAAGTCTTCATGGAACAATCCCGGTTCGTTGAAGCTTATATTGTATCGGAGAACAGTAAAGTAAGAAAGTACATCTGGGGTTTAAAATCTTATCTCCGGAAGTATGTAATATCCAGGAATCCGACAACATTTCAAGCGGCAGTTGATGCAGCTGAAATACTGGAGCAAGACATTAACCGACAACCACAAGAAAAGGTTGGAGAGAAAAGAAAGGGGGAAGCTACAATGACTGATTTTCGTAGACCGAGGTTTATGGAAAATTTGAATCGACCAGTTTCAAGGTTTGCATAGAAAGCATGTACCTGATGTCATAAAATACATCAGGGAAATTGCAATACAGAATCTCGAGCTTGGTTTTAAAAAGCGCGATGCGGTCCGATGCGTTAAGGGTCCCGGAAGCCGATGTGTGATGCATGATGCTGATGCGCCTGGTATTCACAAAATATTTATAAACTAATTCTACATATCAATTTCTACCTTAAAAATACTTACCTATCAAAATATTTCATTTATAACATAAAATAGTTAAAAAGTGGTATTAGAATATTAAAAAGTTCGTTTTCTACTTCTTTGCTGGTTGTCGGGTACTCACGTCACGTTTTAATTGATATGCGATGCTAGGTCTCTCACAGTGCGACTTCTACTTCTTTGCTGTCGGCTTATTTTATTAGGTCTCTCATAGTCTCACGTTATATTTTACTTAACTAAGAAGCCCAACTAAAAAGCCCAACTAAAAACTGAAAAAGGGAGCCAAAAAATGCAACATACATGATGCGCTGATGCATAAGTGATGAACGCATCGTGTGATGCGTAGGTGATGCGAGTGCATCATGGAATCGCAACGCATCAGACCCTTTGATGCGTTTTTTTAGCGCATCATAGCGCATTATGCGTGCATTTTTAAACCAAGATCTCGAGTATGTTTTAAATGTCAGGAACCAGGGCATATAGCTCGAGATTGTCAGATGACATGGAGGTGTTTTACTTATAACTCATCTCAACATGTAAATGTCGATTGTCCACAAGCAAAAGGTTGAGGGTCTGGTTTTATTGGAGGACGGGGATCTGGATATTCTGGGGGCCGAGGACCGGGTTATGTGCCAACAGGTCGTGGACAAATGGAAAATCGTGTTAATTCAAGTGGTCGAGGAAAGATAAGACGTGCAGAGTCTGT